ATGATTTTATAATGGATGCGGATTATTTACCTGGAGGCGAAAAATACGATGAAACCAAGGTTAAAAAAAGTAATCAAGTTTATATTAATAAAGTAGTAATTTACATTGTAAAAAATCATTATATCTCATTGGCTTTTTGATTTTTTTTATGCAAAGATAAATCTGAGAAAAGAAAAGAGGAAAATGAACAGAAGAAAAAGGCCAAACAAAACTTTGACAAATACTTGGATGAATATTATCAACTGGATTATGAAGACATCGTAAATAAATAACACATCTTCAATGTATAGTATTTAATTCAATTCAAATCCTAATTTTTACGCATATTACAGATCGGTGATACACCTACAAGGTTCAAATATAAAAATGTTGAACGATCATCATTTGGATTGACTCCCGTCGAGTTCTTTTTAGCTGATGACAAAGATTTAAATGAATACGTATCCTTAAAGAAAATTGCACCGTGAGTACTTAATATATATCATATATGATGGTGACAATAATATTTATTTCTGTGAACCTTTTCAACAGGTTCCGTCCTAAAAATTTGGCACGTGAGGATGTAAAAAAGTATTCTAAGAAAAAACGGTTACAGCAGTTTCGTAAAAAACTTGAAATTTTAGAAGAGAGTAATCCGCCTACGGACAAAGCATGGAGTATAAAATCGGCCAAACGTAAAAATCAGCAGCAAAATCAAGGACAAACTAATAAAAAGCAGAATAAAACATCTAGCTAATTTAATGTGTTTAATATTCAATTTTAGTATGCTTTAGGTGAATGTCACTACTTGATTTAAATATATACCAAAAATACATATTTAAAATACGAAGTAATTTTAAATATTTTATTCATTGAATTCATCGGAGCAAATGATAGATTAAATACTAGTTTTTCATCGAACTATAATTTTTATCAGAAATTTATAAAAAATTTCGTTTCACATTACCCGCCGACCGATTTTTTCAATTATTTATTTTTTTAGTTTCAATTATCCATTTTTTACATCATTAGTTTTTCCGTAATTATCGATAAGACTCCAATTTTAAATTTATAATTTACCGTACTAAAATATGTCGGCAACAAATAAACTTATAAGTTCGAGGTCTAGTTTTCCTTTGGTGATGACATTAATATTAGAAAAAAGAACGAAAAAAAAAAATAAATAAATTCGCCCGCCGCCCAAATTTTAGAATTTCACGACTTTGCGTGGCTTATGTACATGTATATCTATAGTGAATTTTTTTTTTTAGGTACGCCACTGGGGTGTAATTTACACTATGTAAGATAAATAATTCGTCATAGTGATTTATTATAAAAATCACGTATCTTTAAAACGTTCTAAATCCCGTTCTAGAAAAGCAGTCAATTAGAATAGTGTAGTTTTAAAACTATGTTGAGACATTTTTAAATTTATTTTGACAATATAGTTAAAAGATCAAATGTTTTTTTAGTCATGAATTTAATAGTAAAATATTCACGATTAATAAGTTTATACTATCGAGGCCCAAAATATTTACATATAATTCTTAAATGTCGCAACATAGTTTTATAGCTACACTATCCAAATATTATTTACAAGTTGCAGAATTGAATTTGTTTCACTAGTACTAGAGTTAGAATGTTTTAAATTAAATAATTTATTATATATATTATCTATATCATACTTAAATCCATATTTAAAACGTTCTAACTTTTGCGCTAGTGAAACAAATTCAATTCTGCAACTTGTAAATAATATTTGGATAGTGTAGCTATAAAGCTATATTGCAACATTTAGGGGTCGGCTAAAGCGGAGTGAATTTAATATATGATCTACATACAGCATAAATTGCATTCTTGATATTTATATAACCCACAAACCCTAACTGCATCAAAAAGATAACTCTAAAACCTGCTCCACTTTAACCGACCCGTTAAATAGTATAAATTACATATAGCTCTGCAAATCAGAAATAGATATTCTGATCGTTTTAGCCAATCATAAAACAGTTACATAAATTTCAAATGTCAATTAGCCATAGAGTTAATACTTCAATTCGACATTTTGTTAAACATTTATAGTAAAACATAGTAATTAAATAAATCCGGATTTAAAAACATAGTGAAGTACCAACACTCTAATTAGCCAATCAATCAAAAAATTTTAAAAAATCAAAATTACAAAAAAAAGAGAAAAATAAGCAAAGTTGAATTAAAATTTTATATCCAAAGCTCAAATCAATCCCATTAAATAATATCGTAGAATAAGTAAAAATATCTTTATTAGCTTGGGCACATACCTATTGACTAATTTACTACTGATAACTACAGTTTATTATACTTAAAAAATCATAAAATATATATCCGTTTCTAAATTCGACTATAATATAAAAAAAAATTAGTTAAACTGTAATATACATAGATCTTATTAAACTCTTTAGAGTTTATTCAATAAACAATAAAACAACATTTTGTCTTCTTATTTTTGCTAAATTGTTATCTTTATTACTTCGTTTTACCTTGTTTTTTTTAAAGTTTTCATTAATTTATCCTACATATATACCATTTTATATACTAACTTCATCGTGTAAATTGAACGTGAAAGCCATGGAATTCAAAGGGATTCAACTGATATTATTAACATAATGGAATAAATAAAGTTGTTTTTTAAGAACAAACTACACATACCTACTCTGAAATTTATACTTAAATCAAAAAAACTTCTATTAATTCGTTTCTTCAATTTATGTTTTCACGAAAAAATTTTAATTTTTTCGTTTAAACGTAAATCGAAGAAACGAATTAATAGAAGTTTCTTTGATTTGAGTATAAATTTCAGAGTAGGTATGTGTAGTTTGTTTTTAAAAAACAACTTTATTTATTGCATTAAAGTCGATTAGCTTAGTAAAATTTTGACTTTTATATAGAAAAACTATTGGCATTTGTAGATAAAAATATTTGATACTTTAGTTAAAAAATTTTACAAATGAATAGTTTCTCTATATTAAAATCAAAATTTTACTAAGCTAATCGACTTTAATGCAATAATTAAAGTTGTTTGTTAAGTTATAGTATATAAATATTTCTGTTTATAATTTGCAATTTAATAATCAATCAGCTTTGTTCTTATCAGCTTATTAATGAAATGAAATGATTTGAACGGAAATAGGTAAGTATTATTGTTCATGATTTGCTGCTCTAATTCTATCAATTAAAATAAATCATCTTTGTTCTCACTAGTAGTTTCTAGCCCAATATATAACAAAACAAATAATTACCATCGCTTCAATAATTTTTTGACCCAGTATATAAATAATTTTAACAAACTTACCTTC